TGCCCCTCACCTCCCACATGTCCCGGGAGAGCGGCCGGGGGAAGCAGGGCCAGCAGCTGCCCTTCCGCCTGGGCTGCGTCGCCGCCTCCCTCCTCGTCCTACACCTCTTCGATGCCTTCAAGCCGCCCGCCCACATGCAGCTGCTCTTCTACATGCTCTCCTTCTGCAAGAGCGCAGCCGTGCCGCTGGCCACTGTTGGCCTCATCCCCTACTGTGTCTCCCAGCTCCTGGCCATGCAGGACAAGAAAGCTGTCTAGGGTCATCCTCGCAGGTAATGGTGCGCCTGGGCAGGCAGCTGCCCCGGCTCTGGGCTCGGGGGCAGTCACCAGACCATGGGTGGACCCCAGGCACTGTTTGCTCCCTGCTAAACCTGCACAGACTGACTCCACACCGGGAGCAGGCTGCAAAAGCGGGGCTGGCGGCATTGCCAGATGGCTCCCGCGGCGCAGACCCACAATGCCAGTCGTGCCATAGGCTTGAGCAGTCTGCAGGCAGGTGGTGGCACAGTGAGCCCCATGCTCCCAGAGCTCTCCTGCTGCCCTTCCCATGCCCACAGGCGGGGGTCATCAGCCTGGGACCTGCAGATCATGGGGACGTGCCACCTCCACACTAGGGCTGGGGACAGCACCATGGGGAGCGGGGGGCTCACCCATGGGTGCTTGGGGTCTGCTGGTGAGGCAGCTCTGTTACAGGAATGGGCAGACACTGATGTGGAGATAAAGTGCTGGCTCGCAGGAGCGCCCCACAGCCCTGAGCTGTTCAGCGTTCTCACTGCTGTGTGAGGCAGCATGTGGTACACATATGCATGTGTGTATACATATATAATGCCTACACACATTATACATATGGGTATGTCTCTAAACAAGAGGTATTTTATTAAAGCTGAAGGTGTGTTTAGCTGGTGAGTTCAGATGTCTCGCTGGCCGGTGAGGTGGAATGGGGGATCAGCTCCTGGGCACAGGCACTGCGGTGGGGCTGCTGGTGGTGTTGGACGAAGGATGTCTCTCCTGGGGTGCTGCTCCCACTATCACCTGC